GAATTCTGAGGGCCGTGTAGTTGCTTTACCGTGGCCTCCCATCCACTGGAATGTCTCGAAAACACTCCATACTTTCGGGAAATGGAATCAAGCAGGATGTTTCTCAATACAGGCAAGACGGCAGTTCCCGGTAGAGAAAGGGCGCAAAGCCAGGCAAGAAAATGTAAACCACGAGGTCATCCGCTTCGGAAGCCAAGCATGTCCTGCATGTGTCGATGGAAGGCACTGGTTTCGCATATACTTGGCTGCCACGCTGCAGTGGACGTTGCACCATGCACGAACTCCGGATTCTCAGTGAAAACCGAGAGAGGGAGAGAGAGAGAGAGAGAGAGAGAGCGAGCCACCAAGCGAACAGAGCAACTGAGAGTCCACCGTTGAACGCCAACGTTTTTTAGCGTCGCTTGAAGAAAGCTGTGCTGGAAGCTCCGACTGCCAACCCCTCAGGTTTGCATGAAAGGTTTTGTGGAATTTGCAACACAGCTGCACCAAATTAGCAGATGCTGTAAACCCCGAAACTGTGACCCTGATGCCCAAACATCTCTGAGGCTCGTTTTAGGATCCACGGTTTGGGGCTCCGGGTGCAGAGTCTTGGTGCTCGCGGATGCAAAGCTTGGTGTGTCCGGCTCTGCCGGTCTTGAAATGAAATTGTCCGCAACATTCATCAGGCCCCGAACATCTGAATGCCCTTACACCGGTTAGGCCTCAACCGTCCCGACCCTCAAGTCCCCACCTTTATAACCCGCAAGGCTGATACGCGAAAGACAACACATATAGCCTGAAAAGGTCCCGCTACGTTCGCAATTTCAGCCAAAAGGAGCTTTGCAGTCTCATGGACGCGGGAGGCCGCCGAATCGAGGAGTATTTTGGCTGAAGGTTTTGGCAATTTGGGCGTGGGGATTCTCAGGATTCAAGGTCATTGTTTAGGGTTCCATGTTTGAACTGAACTTTGGTTTGAGTGCGCAGGTCGTACTCGTGGGATACATGCCTGCTCTTTTCCAGCAATGCAGTCGCATGCCACTTTTCCCTCTACGAGCCTAACCACACTTCATACCCAAACCGATATCTCTAAGTCCTCGCACAAACGACCATCACCAGTGGCAGCCGAACACAAACCAACCCGCAACTGCAAGCAGGACGGCAGGACGGAGGAAGGCGCTCGAAAGGCCTAGAACAAAGCCCTAAAGCCCCTTTGGTCTCCCCCCAATGCCCAAGGTATGACGCTTATGCCAGCCTTTGTGGAAGGCGCTTTATGCAGAGATTCTAACATCTTCTAACTCCTAGACCCCAGGGTCGGGTCACCATCAGGGCTCTGCGTCTTTTACTGGGATGTAGGATTTCGGACTCTATAGGGACTTTGGGCTTCAGTGATGCAATTTTGGCACCAGGGCTTCGGGTGTTTATGGGTCTAGGGTGACGGTGCTTTAGAATTTCGGAGCTCGCGATGTTGAATAAGACAGCTTAGCCAATTTCAAGCGCAGCACAGTATCCTTCAAAGCCGAAATTCAAGACTGCGCGGAGTTGAGGGGCTTCTGGTGGCGGTGCAGGTGAGGTCTTGCGCATTGGGTTTCAGTTTTCAGGTGGGCTGCAAGTCTGGAACCCTGAACGCTAAGATGCCAAACTGATCCTCTATGCTTCGATTGCAGCCCTAGCTCGGGGTATGATCTTCCGCACGACCCCGAGACGAGGCAGCCCAGTAGTGTTTCACAAGTTCTAGGACAGAAGGCAGCCTGGATGGCTTTGTGTTGGCTTCGAACGCAACAGCGTCAGAGATTCAGGATGTCAGAGGTTCGGCGCGGGGTTGAAACCCAAATTTGCGAGAGCGACTTTCGACAGGACGGTGCACGATGAACTTAGCTTCAACCCCCAAACTTCACTGAGTTTGTGTACTCACTTCGAGACTGCCCGCGTTCTTCAGAAAATACACGCACGCGGGCAGGCGCATGATGCTGAAAGGAAGCCAGCACGTACATGCCCGCTTCCACTGCTGAAGAATCTTCTGCCGGTCCGATGAGATTAAAAATTGCCAATGTCCGCGCCTAAATTAACTCAGGCACAGAGGCAAAAACTCCCTAATGTAGTAACGTAGTTTCTCACACCCGTAGAATACAACACGGCTTCGTTTGTCCTGCTGGAGACCGTCTCTTCTGCTCCAGTGATTATGCGCTAGTCCACTTTAGGTCGTAACCTGAAACCTTACACCCCGACCGACCCACTCTCCCTTGCAACGGGAAGGGCCTGAGCAGGTGAGTAAGTGAGCAAGTCCATAAGCCGAAACGTCAAACCCGATACACTCAAGACCAAAGCCCCGCAGCCTGGGTCTGAAACCGCTAAACTCTGCACTGCCCGAGACCTTCAATCCTGAACCAAATGTAGCTGCAACCCCGCAGATGAGACTGAATGCCTGAATGCCTAAACATCCCAGAAACAAGAGGCTGGGCTGCGATGCCCGAGTCGGCCTCGGCAAGAAGGACGGCGTGTGGGTCGTTTCTCATGTCGTTTGGTTCCTGCTGCGTGTTAGGTTTAGCTCAGGCTGTTCAGTTTTTGTGTTGTCAAAGGTTGCGACTTAGGGCTGGCAGCGCTTTGGGGTGGAACAGTTTCAGGCATCAAATCTCAAGGGGGCAGGTTTTGATATGAGGGTTTTTATAATCAGGATTCAGAGCCAAGGAGGTGAAGGTCTTCGAACTCAGGAGCTGTGGGCGTTGCGGTTACGGTTTCAGGGATTTCAGGGTTCTGGTTGTGTCTAATGCTTGAAGAAGACATGATGGGAGGATCCCTCGCATGAGAACCCTTCTCGGGAACCTTCTACCTAAAGTTTCGGGTTTACAATTGTCGTGACAGAAAGAAGGTCACTATTCGGAGACTCAGCAGGTAAATACCAGAACCCCACTTACTTCACCACGGTTGTGGTGACCTGACGGAGTAATAGTGAGTGGATCAGATGGGAGACTCGTTAAATTGCATTAGCCTTACAGGTCCTCAACTCGCGAGGCGGAACCACCAGCTGTGGGGATTGAGGTCTGGGGGGAGAAATTTGGAATCAAGGGTGCTTGCGAAGGTGTTCAGTATTGATTTGTCAACAGCATGACCGGCAACTTTGTTTCCTTTGCCCGTTGTCGTCTTCACATTGAAGCTCAGCTTGTGCCGCAACTAGCAGTGATCCTGATGTGTTCCCGTCTCGCAAAGATTGGCAGGTACTGAGCGAAAGAACTAGGGGTTTCTATCAGGTTCTCAACGGTCGGGGTTTAAGGCGTCATGGTTTAGATTTTGTGGGGACTAAGAAACGACAGTCATGCCGAAGCGGTCAGGTGGGGTAGTGGTTCCAACAGCTGTTCGATGCACGGGCAAAAGTATTGCCACACCACACACCCGCAATGATCCAGAAAGTAGACCCCCCGTGTGACCCCATACTACTAAAGGACACCTTGTAGGACACCACTTGGGAGATCTACCATACATATTACATATATATATATATATATACAACACCGGGGACCCTGGGCGAGCGCGTTTTGCGTGGTTTGGGGCTTGCAACCAAATCCTGAATACGCGCAGAAAGAAAACCAATACCCGGACCCCTAAAACACTATGTAAAAGAACCCAAAAAACCAAAATAACCAAAATAACCAAAAATACCAAAACAACAAAAGAACAAAAACAAACAATATTTTGGCACTCCTGGATTCTGGTGCCCGAAGTTTCAAGAGCTCCGGAAAATTGTTTTTTAATGTTGTTTTTGGTTCCTTTGTTTGTTTTTGGTTCTTTTGGTATTTTTGGTATTCTTGGTATGTTGGGTATCTCTAGCTGCTATATTATGATACTGTCACCATTCTAGGCTAGTCGGCAATTCTTGGATATAACACTCAATCAACCATCAATTTCTGCTTATATCATACGAATTACTATACTATAAGTAAGTGTTTGCATATGCAGGGGTAAAGAGTAATGCGCAAGCACTTCCCCCTTGTTTTGTGTTTTGATACAAGAGATGAGCATTTAAAATGTTGATGATCATGTTTTAAGCATATAACTAGGGTTACAAACAATTACAAGTACATAGTATGTGTATGACATGTACGTGGATATATGTATATACGCACATGTGGGTGTTTGCTTTTGAGATTAATGTGCACATATGCACATACATATATCTATCTATCCATCTATCTACCTATCTATCTAGCTAGCTAGCTAGCTAGCCAGCTAGCTAGCTAGCTAGCTATCTATGTATCTATCTATCTACCTATGTATTTGAAGTACAATAATGGGGTGTATACTGACCCGTATTCTGAATCATAAATAGGCAATTGAAAATACAATCACTACTCGAGCTTTATCTAATTACTTCATGATGTATTTATTTATTCATTTGTCAATGAAATACCATTTCGTCAAGGCTTCAGATCTACGAACCAGCAGAAGTTTCATTTGCAATTTCATCATTATTCTTTTTGTTATTATTCGCACTTTATTTTCTTGTATACTATACAACACATAGGCCAATGTACTCCATGTTAAATACCTAATATGCTCTGGTCTTATCGCATAATTATATTGTCTTCCCTGATATGCATACATGCGTTTATCCGTTTATTTTCCTTAGTTGCCATTCATACTATGTTTTGCTTTCTCCTATTCATAGAGCCACAACTAGAACATAACGAATTCATATACGTATCCCTTGTATATTCTGTTTACTTTTGTGCGTAGTCATGTACCAAGCGAAGGTTAAAGAAGCCTATATGCAAACATGCAAACAGTCTCGTGTATATATATATATATATGTCATTAGACGTGTCTATACAGGACTGGCGAATCAGTTGCACTTGTTTGCCCAAGAACCGACAATGCACGAATCATCAACAAATACTTTATTCTTCCAAAGGAGTGATACT